CCCCAAAACCCCAAAACCCCAAAACCCCTAAAAATCCAAACTTTATTGACAAAAAAGAATAGTTTGGGAATTTGTTGCTTAGGCTTGCTATTCTGTATCTTTAGAAAGAGAATTTATAGCCACACGTTCTTACAGAAGGGATTTGTGCTTAAAGAGGTTACAGTGAGCGAGTGATACTCCAGAGTAAGCACTTGCATTTACTCATTGGCCCCTTCCAAACTGCATCCTCTAACGCTCCTGCTCTACCTAAAACAGAGTTGCAGGAGTTTAAAATGGCACTTAGGAGTTTAGAGAACCTCCCATGAGAAATCGCAAGAGAGGATGATGGAGAGCTGATTGATAAGAGACTACAGTCCTCTTCTGAAGACTCTGATGATGACTCTGATATGCCAAAGAAAAAGCATAAGAAAAAGAAAAGAGATCAGAAATACAAAAGGAAGAGTCTCAACAGCACACTTATTGAGAAAGCTAAAAAAGCGAGGAAGTGGAGAAGAGTTAATGCAGCTATTTCTAGTGCGACTAAGTTTAGTACAAAGACCTATACGTTCTCTGAAAAGTCTCCGAATGGCCATCGCTTGCCGGTGGCCCATACACAAACTTTTCCAGACATCGGTGATTTGTACTTAACCATTCAGAAATATTCAGACGATCTAGGTTTTGAAATCAAATTTGATAAGAAGGATAAATCTATTATCTGCACTAGAGGAGGTGGTATCAGAGTTGCTACAGTGAAGAAAGGAAAACTTCAGGTTGAAGAGAGTGAAGAAATGACTGGCTGTCCATTCAAGATTACAGTTAAGCAAAATAACACAGGTGAATGGATCGCTAGGTCGGTTACTAACCAGCATAATCATCTTATGAAGAAAGAAGCCCAACCTGAGTTTGGAGAAGATGTTCAGAAGATTATTTCTAAGTTTCGAGGAGATCTTGGAGCCCATATCTCGATTAATGTCAAGAACCAAGCCAATATTTCGTACTTTAAGCATGGCCTTGAGATGGCTGAGGTGATCAGAGAATGAAAGGAGAAATATAAGGAGGAAAAGACTGATGAACAAGAGATTATTGATTACATTGTTGACTTGAAAAAATTACCGCCTGACAATCTTGATTTGGTCACAAATCTGGCAAAATATTGAATTGAGAAGCAAAAGGAGTTTCCATCTCTTGATTTTAAGGTCAGAAAAGACCTAAGGTACATCTGCTGGACTTTAGTCAAAAAAGAGCGGAGAGGTGTTATCGGAGATGCTATTATCATAGATACGACCATGACTCCTGAATTGAACGGGTCATGCTGGTACATGGTAATTTTTCAAGCTATAAATGAGTACGGGATCATTGAACCTATCTTTATATGCCTTTGCTCAAACATTAACTATAAGAAGATAGTCTCCATGATGATCTCATATAGGCAACTTGGGTTTGATAAGCCATTTTCCGTGATTTGTGATGACGAGGATCACATTCTAACTGCTATAAGAGATGAGCTTAAAATAGGGAAGTTCAAGCATGATCCTAGGCTGCTGATCTGTAAGGACCACATGTTCTACAGTCTTAGGAAGAGACTAGAGAAGTGTAAGGACCTTGACCCACAGAAGATCCCAGAAGTGTGATCAGAGATAGATAAGATCATCAATATCCCTACCAAGGCGAGATATAAGCAGCGATTTAAGAATTATATTTACAAATTTGATGCAATGCCTAAGGCTAGAAAGGTGATCAAGCGATATTTTAAGCATAAGAAATATTTTAATGAAATTTTACATTTTAAGGGACTCAATATATGGAAAAGCAAGCAGAAAGGAATTTTTGAAAAGAAAATAGAGGTGGTCGATGAGAAAGCTTTCAGAAAATTTGACTTCACACCTGAAGCTGAGATTCCTCTCCATCTAGCACATTATAAGAATAGATACCGTGCTTATGGGTATTATGACACTGAGGTCCCTGTGTACCGATCATTTTGAGCATCTGCAAAACAGAGCTTGCTTAATATAAGGTTTCTTAAGAGATGATTGTATACTAACCATAAGATATTAGATAATTTACTTGACACTCATACTAAGATACACCTTGATATTCAATGAAGAAAGACATTTCTAGATGGGTATCCTAATTCGAGTGAATATTTCACCCCATTTGTAGCTGATATTATTGAAACTATCAGAAGGATCAGTCAGACTAAAATTCGTATTAAACGAAAAGATGAACATGTTAATATTTACATTGCAGAGATCATCAAGGATGCAGAGTTACCAAAGGATCTTCCCGAAAACTTGCTGTATCATCTTTACTGTTTCAACACAGACAAGGTGTATATTCCACAAACCCTCATCGAAGCTTTGTATATCGATCTTGACCAGTCTCATGAGCTAGAAATCCGAGAAGACAGGACACTTTCTTGAACATGAGGGAGTTTCTACAAGATAGGCTTTCTATGAATTCACATGTTTGCTCTTCTGGACTATTTAGACCTCGACTTGATGAACAACTTAAATATGGTCAGAGACTGATGGCTGAAGAAGGTCCCTACTGTAAAGGGTCTAGACTATCAATTCAAGACAATCATGAGGTACTTCAATAAATAACTTATTTAATGGGGTTTTGGGGTTTTGGGGTTTTGGGG